TTTTTCCCCCACTGTCTGGTTCCTTTCCCCACCACTTGGTTACCTTTTTCCCCCACTGTCTGGTATCCTTTCCCCCACTTGTTACCTTTTTCCCCCACTGTCTGGTATCCTTTCCCCACCACTTGGTTACCTTTTTCCCCCACTGTCTGGTCTCCTTTCCCCACCACTTGGTTACCTTTTTCCCCCACTGTCTGGTATCCTTTCCCCACCACTTGGTTACCTTTTCCCCCACTGTCTGGTCTCCTTTCCCCACCACTTGGTTACCTTTTTCCCCCACTGTCTGGTCTCCTTCCCCACCACTTGGTTACCTTTTTCCCCCACTGTCTGGTCTCCTTTCCCCACCACTTGGTTACCTTTTTCCCCCACTGTCTGGTCTCCTTTCCCCACCACTTGGTTACCTTTTTCCCACTGTCTGGTATCCTTTCCCCACCACTTGGTTACCTTTTCCCCCACTGTCTGGTATCCTTTCCCCACCACTTGGTTACCTTTTTCCCCACTGTCTGGTATCCTTTCCCCACCACTTGGTTACCTTTTTCCCCCACTGTCTGGTATCCTTTCCCCACCACTTGGTTACCTTTTTCCCCCACTGTCTGGTCTCCTTTCCCCACCACTTGGTTACCTTTTTCCCCCACTGTCTGGTCTCCTTTCCCCACCACTTGGTTACCTTTTTCCCCCACTGTCTGGTCTCCTTTCCCCACCACTTGGTTACCTTTTTCCCCCACTGTCTGGTATCCTTTCCCCACCACTTGGTTACCTTTTTCCCCCACTGTCTGGTCTCCTTTCCCCACCACTTGGTTACCTTTTTCCCCCACTGTCTGGTCTCCTTTCCCCACCACTTGGTTACCTTTTTCCCCCACTGTCTGGTATCCTTTCCCCACCACTTGGTTACCTTTTTCCCCCACTGTCTGGTATCCTTTCCCCACCACTTGGTTACCTTTTTCCCCCACTGTCTGGTATCCTTTCCCCACCACTTGGTTACCTTTTTCCCCCACTGTCTGGTCTCCTTTCCCCACCACTTGGTTACCTTTTTCCCCCACTGTCTGGTATCCTTTCCCCACCACTTGGTTACCTTTTTCCCCCACTGTCTGGTATCCTTTCCCCACCACTTGGTTACCTTTTTCCCCCACTGTCTGGTATCCTTTCCCCACCACTTGGTTACCTTTTTCCCCCACTGTCTGGTATCCTTTCCCCACCACTTGGTTACCTTTTTCCCCCACTGTCTGGTATCCTTTCCCCACCACTTGGTTACCTTTTTCCCCCACTGTCTGGTATCCTTTCCCCACCACTTGGTTACCTTTTTCCCCCACTGTCTGGTCTCCTTTCCCCACCACTTGGTTACCTTTTTCCCCCACTGTCTGGTATCCTTTCCCCACCACTTGGTTACCTTTTTCCCCCACTGTCTGGTATCCTTTCCCCACCACTTGGTTACCTTTTTCCCCCACTGTCTGGTATCCTTTCCCCACCACTTGGTTACCTTTTTCCCCCACTGTCTGGTATCCTTTCCCCACCACTTGGTTACCTTTTTCCCCCACTGTCTGGTATCCTTTCCCCACCACTTGGTTACCTTTTTCCCCCACTGTCTGGTATCCTTTCCCCACCACTTGGTTACCTTTTTCCCCCACTGTCTGGTCTCCTTTCCCCACCACTTGGTTACCTTTTTCCCCCACTGTCTGGTATCCTTTCCCCACCACTTGGTTACCTTTTTCCCCCACTGTCTGGTCTCCTTTCCCCACCACTTGGTTACCTTTTTCCCCCACTGTCTGGTATCCTTTCCCCACCACTTGGTTACCTTTTTCCCCCACTGTCTGGTATCCTTTCCCCACCACTTGGTTACCTTTTTCCCCCACTGTCTGGTATCCTTTCCCCACCACTTGGTTACCTTTTTCCCCCACTGTCTGGTATCCTTTCCCCACCACTTGGTTACCTTTTTCCCCCACTGTCTGGTATCCTTTCCCCACCACTTGGTTACCTTTTTCCCCCACTGTCTGGTATCCTTTCCCCACCACTTGGTTACCTTTTTCCCCCACTGTCTGGTATCCTTTCCCCACCACTTGGTTACCTTTTTCCCCCACTGTCTGGTATCCTTTCCCCACCACTTGGTTACCTTTTTCCCCCACTGTCTGGTATCCTTTCCCCACCACTTGGTTACCTTTTTCCCCCACTGTCTGGTATCCTTTCCCCACCACTTGGTTACCTTTTTCCCCCACTGTCTGGTCTCCTTTCCCCACCACTTGGTTACCTTTTTCCCCCACTGTCTGGTATCCTTTCCCCACCACTTGGTTACCTTTTTCCCCCACTGTCTGGTCTCCTTTCCCCACCACTTGGTTACCTTTTTCCCCCACTGTCTGGTCTCCTTTCCCCACCACTTGGTTACCTTTTTCCCCCACTGTCTGGTATCCTTTCCCCACCACTTGGTTACCTTTTTCCCCCACTGTCTGGTATCCTTTCCCCACCACTTGGTTACCTTTTTCCCCCACTGTCTGGTCTCCTTTCCCCACCACTTGGTTACCTTTTTCCCCCACTGTCTGGTATCCTTTCCCCACCACTTGGTTACCTTTTTCCCCCACTGTCTGGTCTCCTTTCCCCACCACTTGGTTACCTTTTTCCCCCACTGTCTGGTCTCCTTTCCCCACCACTTGGTTACCTTTTTCCCCCACTGTCTGGTCTCCTTTCCCCACCACTTGGTTACCTTTTTCCCCCACTGTCTGGTCTCCTTTCCCCACCACTTGGTTACCTTTTTCCCCCACTGTCTGGTATCCTTTCCCCACCACTTGGTTACCTTTTTCCCCCACTGTCTGGTATCCTTTCCCCACCACTTGGTTACCTTTTTCCCCCACTGTCTGGTATCCTTTCCCCACCACTTGGTTACCTTTTTCCCCCACTGTCTGGTCTCCTTTCCCCACCACTTGGTTACCTTTTTCCCCCACTGTCTGGTCTCCTTTCCCCACCACTTGGTTACCTTTTTCCCCCACTGTCTGGTCTCCTTTCCCCACCACTTGGTTACCTTTTTCCCCCACTGTCTGGTATCCTTTCCCCACCACTTGGTTACCTTTTTCCCCCACTGTCTGGTATCCTTTCCCCACCACTTGGTTACCTTTTTCCCCCACTGTCTGGTATCCTTTCCCCACCACTTGGTTACCTTTTTCCCCCACTGTCTGGTCTCCTTTCCCCACCACTTGGTTACCTTTTTCCCCCACTGTCTGGTCTCCTTTCCCCACCACTTGGTTACCTTTTTCCCCCACTGTCTGGTATCCTTTCCCCACCACTTGGTTACCTTTTTCCCCCACTGTCTGGTATCCTTTCCCCACCACTTGGTTACCTTTTTCCCCCACTGTCTGGTCTCCTTTCCCCACCACTTGGTTACCTTTTTCCCCCACTGTCTGGTCTCCTTTCCCCACCACTTGGTTACCTTTTTCCCCCACTGTCTGGTCTCCTTTCCCCACCACTTGGTTACCTTTTTCCCCCACTGTCTGGTATCCTTTCCCCACCACTTGGTTACCTTTTTCCCCCACTGTCTGGTATCCTTTCCCCACCACTTGGTTACCTTTTTCCCCCACTGTCTGGTATCCTTTCCCCACCACTTGGTTACCTTTTTCCCCCACTGTCTGGTCTCCTTTCCCCACCACTTGGTTACCTTTTTCCCCCACTGTCTGGTCTCCTTTCCCCACCACTTGGTTACCTTTTTCCCCCACTGTCTGGTCTCCTTTCCCCACCACTTGGTTACCTTTTTCCCCCACTGTCTGGTATCCTTTCCCCACCACTTGGTTACCTTTTTCCCCCACTGTCTGGTATCCTTTCCCCACCACTTGGTTACCTTTTTCCCCCACTGTCTGGTATCCTTTCCCCACCACTTGGTTACCTTTTTCCCCCACTGTCTGGTCTCCTTTCCCCACCACTTGGTTACCTTTTTCCCCCACTGTCTGGTTCCTTTCCCCACCACTTGGTTACCTTTTTCCCCCACTGTCTGGTCTCCTTTCCCCACCACTTGGTTACCTTTTTCCCCCACTGTCTGGTATCCTTTCCCCACCACTTGGTTACCTTTTTCCCCCACTGTCTGGTATCCTTTCCCCACCACTTGGTTACCTTTTTCCCCCACTGTCTGGTCTCCTTTCCCCACCACTTGGTTACCTTTTTCCCCCACTGTCTGGTATCCTTTCCCCACCACTTGGTTACCTTTTTCCCCCACTGTCTGGTATCCTTTCCCCACCACTTGGTTACCTTTTTCCCCCACTGTCTGGTCTCCTTTCCCCACCACTTGGTTACCTTTTTCCCCCACTGTCTGGTATCCTTTCCCCACCACTTGGTTACCTTTTTCCCCCACTGTCTGGTCTCCTTTCCCCACCACTTGGTTACCTTTTTCCCCCACTGTCTGGTATCCTTTCCCCACCACTTGGTTACCTTTTTCCCCCACTGTCTGGTATCCTTTCCCCACCACTTGGTTACCTTTTTCCCCCACTGTCTGGTATCCTTTCCCCACCACTTGGTTACCTTTTTCCCCCACTGTCTGGTCTCCTTTCCCCACCACTTGGTTACCTTTTTCCCCCACTGTCTGGTCTCCTTTCCCCACCACTTGGTTACCTTTTTCCCCCACTGTCTGGTCTCCTTTCCCCACCACTTGGTTACCTTTTTCCCCCACTGTCTGGTCTCCTTTCCCCACCACTTGGTTACCTTTTTCCCCCACTGTCTGGTCTCCTTTCCCCACCACTTGGTTACCTTTTTCCCCCACTGTCTGGTCTCCTTTCCCCACCACTTGGTTACCTTTTTCCCCCACTGTCTGGTCTCCTTTCCCCACCACTTGGTTACCTTTTTCCCCCACTGTCTGGTCTCCTTTCCCCACCACTTGGTTACCTTTTTCCCCCACTGTCTGGTCTCCTTTCCCCACCACTTGGTTACCTTTTTCCCCCACTGTCTGGTCTCCTTTCCCCACCACTTGGTTACCTTTTTCCCCCACTGTCTGGTCTCCTTTCCCCACCACTTGGTTACCTTTTTCCCCCACTGTCTGGTATCCTTTCCCCACCACTTGGTTACCTTTTTCCCCCACTGTCTGGTCTCCTTTCCCCACCACTTGGTTACCTTTTTCCCCCACTGTCTGGTATCCTTTCCCCACCACTTGGTTACCTTTTTCCCCCACTGTCTGGTATCCTTTCCCCACCACTTGGTTACCTTTTTCCCCCACTGTCTGGTATCCTTTCCCCACCACTTGGTTACCTTTTTCCCCCACTGTCTGGTCTCCTTTCCCCACCACTTGGTTACCTTTTTCCCCCACTGTCTGGTATCCTTTCCCCACCACTTGGTTACCTTTTTCCCCCACTGTCTGGTCTCCTTTCCCCACCACTTGGTTACCTTTTTCCCCCACTGTCTGGTCTCCTTTCCCCACCACTTGGTTACCTTTTTCCCCCACTGTCTGGTCTCCTTTCCCCACCACTTGGTTACCTTTTTCCCCCACTGTCTGGTCTCCTTTCCCCACCACTTGGTTACCTTTTTCCCCCACTGTCTGGTATCCTTTCCCCACCACTTGGTTACCTTTTTCCCCCACTGTCTGGTCTCCTTTCCCCACCACTTGGTTACCTTTTTCCCCCACTGTCTGGTATCCTTTCCCCACCACTTGGTTACCTTTTTCCCCCACTGTCTGGTATCCTTTCCCCACCACTTGGTTACCTTTTTCCCCCACTGTCTGGTCTCCTTTCCCCACCACTTGGTTACCTTTTTCCCCCACTGTCTGGTCTCCTTTCCCCACCACTTGGTTACCTTTTTCCCCCACTGTCTGGTATCCTTTCCCCACCACTTGGTTACCTTTTTCCCCCACTGTCTGGTATCCTTTCCCCACCACTTGGTTACCTTTTTCCCCCACTGTCTGGTATCCTTTCCCCACCACTTGGTTACCTTTTTCCCCCACTGTCTGGTCTCCTTTCCCCACCACTTGGTTACCTTTTTCCCCCACTGTCTGGTATCCTTTCCCCACCACTTGGTTACCTTTTTCCCCCACTGTCTGGTATCCTTTCCCCACCACTTGGTTACCTTTTTCCCCCACTGTCTGGTCTCCTTTCCCCACCACTTGGTTACCTTTTTCCCCCACTGTCTGGTCTCCTTTCCCCACCACTTGGTTACCTTTTTCCCCCACTGTCTGGTCTCCTTTCCCCACCACTTGGTTACCTTTTTCCCCCACTGTCTGGTCTCCTTTCCCCACCACTTGGTTACCTTTTTCCCCCACTGTCTGGTCTCCTTTCCCCACCACTTGGTTACCTTTTTCCCCCACTGTCTGGTATCCTTTCCCCACCACTTGGTTACCTTTTTCCCCCACTGTCTGGTCTCCTTTCCCCACCACTTGGTTACCTTTTTCCCCCACTGTCTGGTATCCTTTCCCCACCACTTGGTTACCTTTTTCCCCCACTGTCTGGTATCCTTTCCCCACCACTTGGTTACCTTTTTCCCCCACTGTCTGGTCTCCTTTCCCCACCACTTGGTTACCTTTTTCCCCCACTGTCTGGTATCCTTTCCCCACCACTTGGTTACCTTTTTCCCCCACTGTCTGGTATCCTTTCCCCACCACTTGGTTACCTTTTTCCCCCACTGTCTGGTCTCCTTTCCCCACCACTTGGTTACCTTTTTCCCCCACTGTCTGGTCTCCTTTCCCCACCACTTGGTTACCTTTTTCCCCCACTGTCTGGTATCCTTTCCCCACCACTTGGTTACCTTTTTCCCCCACTGTCTGGTCTCCTTTCCCCACCACTTGGTTACCTTTTTCCCCCACTGTCTGGTCTCCTTTCCCCACCACTTGGTTACCTTTTTCCCCCACTGTCTGGTATCCTTTCCCCACCACTTGGTTACCTTTTTCCCCCACTGTCTGGTCTCCTTTCCCCACCACTTGGTTACCTTTTTCCCCCACTGTCTGGTCTCCTTTCCCCACCACTTGGTTACCTTTTTCCCCCACTGTCTGGTCTCCTTTCCCCACCACTTGGTTACCTTTTTCCCCCACTGTCTGGTATCCTTTCCCCACCACTTGGTTACCTTTTTCCCCCACTGTCTGGTCTCCTTTCCCCACCACTTGGTTACCTTTTTCCCCCACTGTCTGGTATCCTTTCCCCACCACTTGGTTACCTTTTTCCCCCACTGTCTGGTCTCCTTTCCCCACCACTTGGTTACCTTTTTCCCCCACTGTCTGGTCTCCTTTCCCCACCACTTGGTTACCTTTTTCCCCCACTGTCTGGTATCCTTTCCCCACCACTTGGTTACCTTTTTCCCCCACTGTCTGGTCTCCTTTCCCCACCACTTGGTTACCTTTTTCCCCCACTGTCTGGTCTCCTTTCCCCACCACTTGGTTACCTTTTTCCCCCACTGTCTGGTATCCTTTCCCCACCACTTGGTTACCTTTTTCCCCCACTGTCTGGTCTCCTTTCCCCACCACTTGGTTACCTTTTTCCCCCACTGTCTGGTCTCCTTTCCCCACCACTTGGTTACCTTTTTCCCCCACTGTCTGGTCTCCTTTCCCCACCACTTGGTTACCTTTTTCCCCCACTGTCTGGTATCCTTTCCCCACCACTTGGTTACCTTTTTCCCCCACTGTCTGGTATCCTTTCCCCACCACTTGGTTACCTTTTTCCCCCACTGTCTGGTATCCTTTCCCCACCACTTGGTTACCTTTTTCCCCCACTGTCTGGTATCCTTTCCCCACCACTTGGTTACCTTTTTCCCCCACTGTCTGGTCTCCTTTCCCCACCACTTGGTTACCTTTTTCCCCCACTGTCTGGTATCCTTTCCCCACCACTTGGTTACCTTTTTCCCCCACTGTCTGGTCTCCTTTCCCCACCACTTGGTTACCTTTTTCCCCCACTGTCTGGTATCCTTTCCCCACCACTTGGTTACCTTTTTCCCCCACTGTCTGGTATCCTTTCCCCACCACTTGGTTACCTTTTTCCCCCACTGTCTGGTATCCTTTCCCCACCACTTGGTTACCTTTTTCCCCCACTGTCTGGTCTCCTTTCCCCACCACTTGGTTACCTTTTTCCCCCACTGTCTGGTATCCTTTCCCCACCACTTGGTTACCTTTTTCCCCCACTGTCTGGTATCCTTTCCCCACCACTTGGTTACCTTTTTCCCCCACTGTCTGGTATCCTTTCCCCACCACTTGGTTACCTTTTTCCCCCACTGTCTGGTCTCCTTTCCCCACCACTTGGTTACCTTTTTCCCCCACTGTCTGGTATCCTTTCCCCACCACTTGGTTACCTTTTTCCCCCACTGTCTGGTCTCCTTTCCCCACCACTTGGTTACCTTTTTCCCCCACTGTCTGGTATCCTTTCCCCACCACTTGGTTACCTTTTTCCCCCACTGTCTGGTCTCCTTTCCCCACCACTTGGTTACCTTTTTCCCCCACTGTCTGGTATCCTTTCCCCACCACTTGGTTACCTTTTTCCCCCACTGTCTGGTCTCCTTTCCCCACCACTTGGTTACCTTTTTCCCCCACTGTCTGGTATCCTTTCCCCACCACTTGGTTACCTTTTTCCCCCACTGTCTGGTCTCCTTTCCCCACCACTTGGTTACCTTTTTCCCCCACTGTCTGGTCTCCTTTCCCCACCACTTGGTTACCTTTTTCCCCCACTGTCTGGTCTCCTTTCCCCACCACTTGGTTACCTTTTTCCCCCACTGTCTGGTATCCTTTCCCCACCACTTGGTTACCTTTTTCCCCCACTGTCTGGTATCCTTTCCCCACCACTTGGTTACCTTTTTCCCCCACTGTCTGGTATCCTTTCCCCACCACTTGGTTACCTTTTTCCCCCACTGTCTGGTATCCTTTCCCCACCACTTGGTTACCTTTTTCCCCCACTGTCTGGTATCCTTTCCCCACCACTTGGTTACCTTTTTCCCCCACTGTCTGGTCTCCTTTCCCCACCACTTGGTTACCTTTTTCCCCCACTGTCTGGTATCCTTTCCCCACCACTTGGTTACCTTTTTCCCCCACTGTCTGGTATCCTTTCCCCACCACTTGGTTACCTTTTTCCCCCACTGTCTGGTATCCTTTCCCCACCACTTGGTTACCTTTTTCCCCCACTGTCTGGTCTCCTTTCCCCACCACTTGGTTACCTTTTTCCCCCACTGTCTGGTATCCTTTCCCCACCACTTGGTTACCTTTTTCCCCCACTGTCTGGTCTCCTTTCCCCACCACTTGGTTACCTTTTTCCCCCACTGTCTGGTATCCTTTCCCCACCACTTGGTTACCTTTTTCCCCCACTGTCTGGTCTCCTTTCCCCACCACTTGGTTACCTTTTTCCCCCACTGTCTGGTATCCTTTCCCCACCACTTGGTTACCTTTTTCCCCCACTGTCTGGTATCCTTTCCCCACCACTTGGTTACCTTTTTCCCCCACTGTCTGGTCTCCTTTCCCCACCACTTGGTTACCTTTTTCCCCCACTGTCTGGTATCCTTTCCCCACCACTTGGTTACCTTTTTCCCCCACTGTCTGGTCTCCTTTCCCCACCACTTGGTTACCTTTTTCCCCCACTGTCTGGTATCCTTTCCCCACCACTTGGTTACCTTTTTCCCCCACTGTCTGGTCTCCTTTCCCCACCACTTGGTTACCTTTTTCCCCCACTGTCTGGTCTCCTTTCCCCACCACTTGGTTACCTTTTTCCCCCACTGTCTGGTATCCTTTCCCCACCACTTGGTTACCTTTTTCCCCCACTGTCTGGTCTCCTTTCCCCACCACTTGGTTACCTTTTTCCCCCACTGTCTGGTCTCCTTTCCCCACCACTTGGTTACCTTTTTCCCCCACTGTCTGGTCTCCTTTCCCCACCACTTGGTTACCTTTTTCCCCCACTGTCTGGTCTCCTTTCCCCACCACTTGGTTACCTTTTTCCCCCACTGTCTGGTATCCTTTCCCCACCACTTGGTTACCTTTTTCCCCCACTGTCTGGTCTCCTTTCCCCACCACTTGGTTACCTTTTTCCCCCACTGTCTGGTCTCCTTTCCCCACCACTTGGTTACCTTTTTCCCCCACTGTCTGGTCTCCTTTCCCCACCACTTGGTTACCTTTTTCCCCCACTGTCTGGTCTCCTTTCCCCACCACTTGGTTACCTTTTTCCCCCACTGTCTGGTCTCCTTTCCCCACCACTTGGTTACCTTTTTCCCCCACTGTCTGGTATCCTTTCCCCACCACTTGGTTACCTTTTTCCCCCACTGTCTGGTCTCCTTTCCCCACCACTTGGTTACCTTTTTCCCCCACTGTCTGGTCTCCTTTCCCCACCACTTGGTTACCTTTTTCCCCCACTGTCTGGTCTCCTTTCCCCACCACTTGGTTACCTTTTTCCCCCACTGTCTGGTCTCCTTTCCCCACCACTTGGTTACCTTTTTCCCCCACTGTCTGGTCTCCTTTCCCCACCACTTGGTTACCTTTTTCCCCCACTGTCTGGTCTCCTTTCCCCACCACTTGGTTACCTTTTTCCCCCACTGTCTGGTATCCTTTCCCCACCACTTGGTTACCTTTTTCCCCCACTGTCTGGTATCCTTTCCCCACCACTTGGTTACCTTTTTCCCCCACTGTCTGGTCTCCTTTCCCCACCACTTGGTTACCTTTTTCCCCCACTGTCTGGTCTCCTTTCCCCACCACTTGGTTACCTTTTTCCCCCACTGTCTGGTATCCTTTCCCCACCACTTGGTTACCTTTTTCCCCCACTGTCTGGTCTCCTTTCCCCACCACTTGGTTACCTTTTTCCCCCACTGTCTGGTCTCCTTTCCCCACCACTTGGTTACCTTTTTCCCCCACTGTCTGGTCTCCTTTCCCCACCACTTGGTTACCTTTTTCCCCCACTGTCTGGTATCCTTTCCCCACCACTTGGTTACCTTTTTCCCCCACTGTCTGGTATCCTTTCCCCACCACTTGGTTACCTTTTTCCCCCACTGTCTGGTCTCCTTTCCCCACCACTTGGTTACCTTTTTCCCCCACTGTCTGGTATCCTTTCCCCACCACTTGGTTACCTTTTTCCCCCACTGTCTGGTATCCTTTCCCCACCACTTGGTTACCTTTTTCCCCCACTGTCTGGTATCCTTTCCCCACCACTTGGTTACCTTTTTCCCCCACTGTCTGGTCTCCTTTCCCCACCACTTGGTTACCTTTTTCCCCCACTGTCTGGTATCCTTTCCCCACCACTTGGTTACCTTTTTCCCCCACTGTCTGGTATCCTTTCCCCACCACTTGGTTACCTTTTTCCCCCACTGTCTGGTATCCTTTCCCCACCACTTGGTTACCTTTTTCCCCCACTGTCTGGTATCCTTTCCCCACCACTTGGTTACCTTTTTCCCCCACTGTCTGGTCTCCTTTCCCCACCACTTGGTTACCTTTTTCCCCCACTGTCTGGTCTCCTTTCCCCACCACTTGGTTACCTTTTTCCCCCACTGTCTGGTCTCCTTTCCCCACCACTTGGTTACCTTTTTCCCCCACTGTCTGGTCTCCTTTCCCCACCACTTGGTTACCTTTTTCCCCCACTGTCTGGTCTCCTTTCCCCACCACTTGGTTACCTTTTTCCCCCACTGTCTGGTCTCCTTTCCCCACCACTTGGTTACCTTTTTCCCCCACTGTCTGGTCTCCTTTCCCCACCACTTGGTTACCTTTTTCCCCCACTGTCTGGTCTCCTTTCCCCACCACTTGGTTACCTTTTTCCCCCACTGTCTGGTCTCCTTTCCCCACCACTTGGTTACCTTTTTCCCCCACTGTCTGGTCTCCTTTCCCCACCACTTGGTTACCTTTTTCCCCCACTGTCTGGTCTCCTTTCCCCACCACTTGGTTACCTTTTTCCCCCACTGTCTGGTCTCCTTTCCCCACCACTTGGTTACCTTTTTCCCCCACTGTCTGGTCTCCTTTCCCCACCACTTGGTTACCTTTTTCCCCCACTGTCTGGTCTCCTTTCCCCACCACTTGGTTACCTTTTTCCCCCACTGTCTGGTCTCCTTTCCCCACCACTTGGTTACCTTTTTCCCCCACTGTCTGGTCTCCTTTCCCCACCACTTGGTTACCTTTTTCCCCCACTGTCTGGTCTCCTTTCCCCACCACTTGGTTACCTTTTTCCCCCACTGTCTGGTCTCCTTTCCCCACCACTTGGTTACCTTTTTCCCCCACTGTCTGGTCTCCTTTCCCCACCACTTGGTTACCTTTTTCCCCCACTGTCTGGTCTCCTTTCCCCACCACTTGGTTACCTTTTTCCCCCACTGTCTGGTCTCCTTTCCCCACCACTTGGTTACCTTTTTCCCCCACTGTCTGGTCTCCTTTCCCCACCACTTGGTTACCTTTTTCCCCCACTGTCTGGTCTCCTTTCCCCACCACTTGGTTACCTTTTTCCCCCACTGTCTGGTCTCCTTTCCCCACCACTTGGTTACCTTTTTCCCCCACTGTCTGGTCTCCTTTCCCCACCACTTGGTTACCTTTTTCCCCCACTGTCTGGTCTCCTTTCCCCACCACTTGGTTACCTTTTTCCCCCACTGTCTGGTCTCCTTTCCCCACCACTTGGTTACCTTTTTCCCCCACTGTCTGGTCTCCTTTCCCCACCACTTGGTTACCTTTTTCCCCCACTGTCTGGTCTCCTTTCCCCACCACTTGGTTACCTTTTTCCCCCACTGTCTGGTCTCCTTTCCCCACCACTTGGTTACCTTTTTCCCCCACTGTCTGGTCTCCTTTCCCCACCACTTGGTTACCTTTTTCCCCCACTGTCTGGTCTCCTTTCCCCACCACTTGGTTACCTTTTTCCCCCACTGTCTGGTCTCCTTTCCCCACCACTTGGTTACCTTTTTCCCCCACTGTCTGGTCTCCTTTCCCCACCACTTGGTTACCTTTTTCCCCCACTGTCTGGTCTCCTTTCCCCACCACTTGGTTACCTTTTTCCCCCACTGTCTGGTCTCCTTTCCCCACCACTTGGTTACCTTTTTCCCCCACTGTCTGGTCTCCTTTCCCCACCACTTGGTTACCTTTTTCCCCCACTGTCTGGTCTCCTTTCCCCACCACTTGGTTACCTTTTTCCCCCACTGTCTGGTCTCCTTTCCCCACCACTTGGTTACCTTTTTCCCCCACTGTCTGGTCTCCTTTCCCCACCACTTGGTTACCTTTTTCCCCCACTGTCTGGTATCCTTTCCCCACCACTTGGTTACCTTTTTCCCCCACTGTCTGGTATCCTTTCCCCACCACTTGGTTACCTTTTTCCCCCACTGTCTGGTCTCCTTTCCCCACCACTTGGTTACCTTTTTCCCCCACTGTCTGGTCTCCTTTCCCCACCACTTGGTTACCTTTTTCCCCCACTGTCTGGTATCCTTTCCCCACCACTTGGTTACCTTTTTCCCCCACTGTCTGGTATCCTTTCCCCACCACTTGGTTACCTTTTTCCCCCACTGTCTGGTATCCTTTCCCCACCACTTGGTTACCTTTTTCCCCCACTGTCTGGTATCCTTTCCCCACCACTTGGTTACCTTTTTCCCCCACTGTCTGGTCTCCTTTCCCCACCACTTGGTTACCTTTTTCCCCCACTGTCTGGTCTCCTTTCCCCACCACTTGGTTACCTTTTCCCCCACTGTCTGGTCTCCTTTCCCCACCACTTGGTTACCTTTTTCCCCCACTGTCTGGTCTCCTTTCCCCACCACTTGGTTACCTTTTTCCCCCACTGTCTGGTCTCCTTTCCCCACCACTTGGTTACCTTTTTCCCCCACTGTCTGGTATCCTTTCCCCACCACTTGGTTACCTTTTTCCCCCACTGTCTGGTCTCCTTTCCCCACCACTTGGTTACCTTTTTCCCCCACTGTCTGGTCTCCTTTCCCCACCACTTGGTTACCTTTTTCCCCCACTGTCTGGTCTCCTTTCCCCACCACTTGGTTACCTTTTTCCCCCACTGTCTGGTCTCCTTTCCCCACCACTTGGTTACCTTTTTCCCCCACTGTCTGGTCTCCTTTCCCCACCACTTGGTTACCTTTTTCCCCCACTGTCTGGTCTCCTTTCCCCACCACTTGGTTACCTTTTTCCCCCACTGTCTGGTATCCTTTCCCCACCACTTGGTTACCTTTTTCCCCCACTGTCTGGTATCCTTTCCCCACCACTTGGTTACCTTTTTCCCCCACTGTCTGGTATCCTTTCCCCACCACTTGGTTACCTTTTTCCCCCACTGTCTGGTCTCCTTTCCCCACCACTTGGTTACCTTTTTCCCCCACTGTCTGGTCTCCTTTCCCCACCACTTGGTTACCTTTTTCCCCCACTGTCTGGTCTCCTTTCCCCACCACTTGGTTACCTTTTTCCCCCACTGTCTGGTCTCCTTTCCCCACCACTTGGTTACCTTTTTCCCCCACTGTCTGGTATCCTTTCCCCACCACTTGGTTACCTTTTTCCCCCACTGTCTGGTCTCCTTTCCCCACCACTTGGTTACCTTTTTCCCCCACTGTCTGGTCTCCTTTCCCCACCACTTGGTTACCTTTTTCCCCCACTGTCTGGTCTCCTTTCCCCACCACTTGGTTACCTTTTTCCCCCACTGTCTGGTCTCCTTTCCCCACCACTTGGTTACCTTTTTCCCCCACTGTCTGGTCTCCTTTCCCCACCACTTGGTTACCTTTTTCCCCCACTGTCTGGTCTCCTTTCCCCACCACTTGGTTACCTTTTTCCCCCACTGTCTGGTCTCCTTTCCCCACCACTTGGTTACCTTTTTCCCCCACTGTCTGGTCTCCTTTCCCCACCACTTGGTTACCTTTTTCCCCCACTGTCTGGTCTCCTTTCCCCACCACTTGGTTACCTTTTTCCCCCACTGTCTGGTCTCCTTTCCCCACCACTTGGTTACCTTTTTCCCCCACTGTCTGGTCTCCTTTCCCCACCACTTGGTTACCTTTTTCCCCCACTGTCTGGTCTCCTTTCCCCACCACTTGGTTACCTTTTTCCCCCACTGTCTGGTCTCCTTTCCCCACCACTTGGTTACCTTTTTCCCCCACTGTCTGGTCTCCTTTCCCCACCACTTGGTTACCTTTTTCCCCCACTGTCTGGTCTCCTTTCCCCACCACTTGGTTACCTTTTTCCCCACTGTCTGGTCTCCTTTCCCCACCACTTGGTTACCTTTTTCCCCCACTGTCTGGTCTCCTTTCCCCACCACTTGGTTACCTTTTTCCCCCACTGTCTGGTCTCCTTTCCCCACCACTTGGTTACCTTTTTCCCCCACTGTCTGGTCTCCTTTCCCCACCACTTGGTTACCTTTTTCCCCCACTGTCTGGTCTCCTTTCCCCACCACTTGGTTACCTTTTTCCCCCACTGTCTGGTCTCCTTTCCCCACCACTTGGTTACCTTTTTCCCCCACTGTCTGGTCTCCTTTCCCCACCACTTGGTTACCTTTTTCCCCCACTGTCTGGTCTCCTTTCCCCACCACTTGGTTACCTTTTTCCCCCACTGTCTGGTCTCCTTTCCCCACCACTTGGTTACCTTTTTCCCCCACTGTCTGGTCTCCTTTCCCCACCACTTGGTTACCTTTTTCCCCCACTGTCTGGTCTCCTTTCCCCACCACTTGGTTACCTTTTTCCCCCACTGTCTGGTCTCCTTTCCCCACCACTTGGTTACCTTTTTCCCCCACTGTCTGGTCTCCTTTCCCCACCACTTGGTTACCTTTTTCCCCCACTGTCTGGTCTCCTTTCCCCACCACTTGGTTACCTTTTTCCCCCACTGTCTGGTCTCCTTTCCCCACCACTTGGTTACCTTTTTCCCCCACTGTCTGGTCTCCTTTCCCCACCACTTGGTTACCTTTTTCCCCCACTGTCTGGTCTCCTTTCCCCACCACTTGGTTACCTTTTTCCCCCACTGTCTGGTCTCCTTTCCCCACCACTTGGTTACCTTTTTCCCCCACTGTCTGGTCTCCTTTCCCCACCACTTGGTTACCTTTTTCCCCCACTGTCTGGTCTCCTTTCCCCACCACTTGGTTACCTTTTTCCCCCACTGTCTGGTCTCCTTTCCCCACCACTTGGTTACCTTTTTCCCCCACTGTCTGGTCTCCTTTCCCCACCACTTGGTTACCTTTTTCCCCCACTGTCTGGTCTCCTTTCCCCACCACTTGGTTACCTTTTTCCCCCACTGTCTGGTCTCCTTTCCCCACCACTTGGTTACCTTTTTCCCCCACTGTCTGGTCTCCTTTCCCCACCACTTGGTTACCTTTTTCCCCCACTGTCTGGTCTCCTTTCCCCACCACTTGGTTACCTTTTTCCCCCACTGTCTGGTCTCCTTTCCCCACCACTTGGTTACCTTTTTCCCCCACTGTCTGGTCTCCTTTCCCCACCACTTGGTTACCTTTTTCCCCCACTGTCTGGTCTCCTTTCCCCACCACTTGGTTACCTTTTTCCCCCACTGTCTGGTCTCCTTTCCCCACCACTTGGTTACCTTTTTCCCCCACTGTCTGGTCTCCTTTCCCCACCACTTGGTTACCTTTTTCCCCCACTGTCTGGTCTCCTTTCCCCACCACTTGGTTACCTTTTTCCCCCACTGTCTGGTCTCCTTTCCCCACCACTTGGTTACCTTTTTCCCCCACTGTCTGGTCTCCTTTCCCCACCACTTGGTTACCTTTTTCCCCCACTGTCTGGTCTCCTTTCCCCACCACTTGGTTACCTTTTTCCCCCACTGTCTGGTCTCCTTTCCCCACCACTTGGTTACCTTTTTCCCCCACTGTCTGGTCTCCTTTCCCCACCACTTGGTTACCTTTTTCCCCCACTGTCTGGTCTCCTTTCCCCACCACTTGGTTACCTTTTTCCCCCACTGTCTGGTCTCCTTTCCCCACCACTTGGTTACCTTTTTCCCCCACTGTCTGGTCTCCTTTCCCCACCACTTGGTTACCTTTTTCCCCCACTGTCTGGTCTCCTTTCCCCACCACTTGGTTACCTTTTTCCCCCACTGTCTGGTCTCCTTTCCCCACCACTTGGTTACCTTTTTCCCCCACTGTCTGGTCTCCTTTCCCCACCACTTGGTTACCTTTTTCCCCCACTGTCTGGTCTCCTTTCCCCACCACTTGGTTACCTTTTTCCCCCACTGTCTGGTCTCCTTTCCCCACCACTTGGTTACCTTTTTCCCCCACTGTCTGGTCTCCTTTCCCCACCACTTGGTTACCTTTTTCCCCCACTGTCTGGTCTCCTTTCCCCACCACTTGGTTACCTTTTTCCCCCACTGTCTGGTCTCCTTTCCCCACCACTTGGTTACCTTTTTCCCCCACTGTCTGGTCTCCTTTCCCCACCACTTGGTTACCTTTTTCCCCCACTGTCTGGTCTCCTTTCCCCACCACTTGGTTACCTTTTTCCCCCACTGTCTGGTCTCCTTTCCCCACCACTTGGTTACCTTTTTCCCCCACTGTCTGGTCTCCTTTCCCCACCACTTGGTTACCTTTTTCCCCCACTGTCTGGTCTCCTTTCCCCACCACTTGGTTACCTTTTTCCCCCACTGTCTGGTCTCCTTTCCCCACCACTTGGTTACCTTTTTCCCCCACTGTCTGGTCTCCTTTCCCCACCACTTGGTTACCTTTTTCCCCCACTGTCTGGTCTCCTTTCCCCACCACTTGGTTACCTTTTTCCCCCACTGTCTGGTCTCCTTTCCCCACCACTTGGTTACCTTTTTCCCCCACTGTCTGGTCTCCTTTCCCCACCACTTGGTTACCTTTTTCCCCCACTGTCTGGTCTCCTTTCCCCACCACTTGGTTACCTTTTTCCCCCACTGTCTGGTCTCCTTTCCCCACCACTTGGTTACCTTTTTCCCCCACTGTCTGGTCTCCTTTCCCCACCACTTGGTTACCTTTTTCCCCCACTGTCTGGTCTCCTTTCCCCACCACTTGGTTACCTTTTTCCCCCACTGTCTGGTCTCCTTTCCCCACCACTTGGTTACCTTTTTCCCCCACTGTCTGGTCTCCTTTCCCCACCACTTGGTTACCTTTTTCCCCCACTGTCTGGTCTCCTTTCCCCACCACTTGGTTACCTTTTTCCCCCACTGTCTGGTCTCCTTTCCCCACCACTTGGTTACCTTTTTCCCCCACTGTCTGGTCTCCTTTCCCCACCACTTGGTTACCTTTTTCCCCACTGTCTGGTCTCCTTTCCCCACCACTTGGTTACCTTTTTCCCCCACTGTCTGGTCTCCTTTCCCCACCACTTGGTTACCTTTTTCCCCCACTGTCTGGTCTCCTTTCCCCACCACTTGGTTACCTTTTTCCCCCACTGTCTGGTCTCCTTTCCCCACCACTTGGTTACCTTTTTCCCCCACTGTCTGGTCTCCTTTCCCCACCACTTGGTTACCTTTTTCCCCCACTGTCTGGTCTCCTTTCCCCACCACTTGGTTACCTTTTTCCCCCACTGTCTGGTCTCCTTTCCCCACCACTTGGTTACCTTTTTCCCCCACTGTCTGGTCTCCTTTCCCCACCACTTGGTTACCTTTTTCCCCCACTGTCTGGTCTCCTTTCCCCACCACTTGGTTACCTTTTTCCCCCACTGTCTGGTCTCCTTTCCCCACCACTTGGTTACCTTTTTCCCCCACTGTCTGGTCTCCTTTCCCCACCACTTGGTTACCTTTTTCCCCCACTGTCTGGTCTCCTTTCCCCACCACTTGGTTACCTTTTTCCCCCACTGTCTGGTCTCCTTTCCCCACCACTTGGTTACCTTTTTCCCCCACTGTCTGGTCTCCTTTCCCCACCACTTGGTTACCTTTTTCCCCCACTGTCTGGTCTCCTTTCCCCACCACTTGGTTACCTTTTTCCCCCACTGTCTGGTCTCCTTTCCCCACCACTTGGTTACCTTTTTCCCCCACTGTCTGGTCTCCTTTCCCCACCACTTGGTTACCTTTTTCCCCCACTGTCTGGTCTCCTTTCCCCACCACTTGGTTACCTTTTTCCCCCACTGTCTGGTCTCCTTTCCCCACCACTTGGTTACCTTTTTCCCCCACTGTCTGGTCTCCTTTCCCCACCACTTGGTTACCTTTTTCCCCCACTGTCTGGTCTCCTTTCCCCACCACTTGGTTACCTTTTTCCCCCACTGTCTGGTCTCCTTTCCCCACCACTTGGTTACCTTTTTCCCCCACTGTCTGGTCTCCTTTCCCCACCACTTGGTTACCTTTTTCCCCCACTGTCTGGTCTCCTTTCCCCACCACTTGGTTACCTTTTTCCCCCACTGTCTGGTCTCCTTTCCCCACCACTTGGTTACCTTTTTCCCCCACTGTCTGGTCTCCTTTCCCCACCACTTGGTTACCTTTTTCCCCCACTGTCTGGTCTCCTTTCCCCACCACTTGGTTACCTTTTTCCCCCACTGTCTGGTCTCCTTTCCCCACCACTTGGTTACCTTTTTCCCCCACTGTCTGGTCTCCTTTCCCCACCACTTGGTTACCTTTTTCCCCCACTGTCTGGTCTCCTTTCCCCACCACTTGGTTACCTTTTTCCCCCACTGTCTGGTCTCCTTTCCCCACCACTTGGTTACCTTTTTCCCCCACTGTCTGGTCTCCTTTCCCCACCACTTGGTTACCTTTTTCCCCCACTGTCTGGTCTCCTTTCCCCACCACTTGGTTACCTTTTTCCCCCACTGTCTGGTCTCCTTTCCCCACCACTTGGTTACCTTTTTCCCCCACTGTCTGGTCTCCTTTCCCCACCACTTGGTTACCTTTTTCCCCCACTGTCTGGTCTCCTTTCCCCACCACTTGGTTACCTTTTTCCCCCACTGTCTGGTCTCCTTTCCCCACCACTTGGTTACCTTTTTCCCCCACTGTCTGGTCTCCTTTCCCCACCACTTGGTTACCTTTTTCCCCCACTGTCTGGTCTCCTTTCCCCACCACTTGGTTACCTTTTTCCCCCACTGTCTGGTCTCCTTTCCCCACCACTTGGTTACCTTTTTCCCCCACTGTCTGGTCTCCTTTCCCCACCACTTGGTTACCTTTTTCCCCCACTGTCTGGTATCCTTTCCCCACCACTTGGTTACCTTTTTCCCCCACTGTCTGGTATCCTTTCCCCACCACTTGGTTACCTTTTTCCCCCACTGTCTGGTATCCTTTCCCCACCACTTGGTTACCTTTTTCCCCCACTGTCTGGTATCCTTTCCCCACCACTTGGTTACCTTTTTCCCCCACTGTCTGGTATCCTTTCCCCACCACTTGGTTACCTTTTTCCCCCACTGTCTGGTCTCCTTTCCCCACCACTTGGTTACCTTTTTCCCCCACTGTCTGGTATCCTTTCCCCACCACTTGGTTACCTTTTTCCCCCACTGTCTGGTCTCCTTTCCCCACCACTTGGTTACCTTTTTCCCCCACTGTCTGGTCTCCTTTCCCCACCACTTGGTTACCTTTTTCCCCCACTGTCTGGTATCCTTTCCCCACCACTTGGTTACCTTTTTCCCCCACTGTCTGGTATCCTTTCCCCACCACTTGGTTACCTTTTTCCCCCACTGTCTGGTCTCCTTTCCCCACCACTTGGTTACCTTTTTCCCCCACTGTCTGGTCTCCTTTCCCCACCACTTGGTTACCTTTTTCCCCCACTGTCTGGTCTCCTTTCCCCACCACTTGGTTACCTTTTTCCCCCACTGTCTGGTCTCCTTTCCCCACCACTTGGTTACCTTTTTCCCCCACTGTCTGGTCTCCTTTCCCCACCACTTGGTTACCTTTTTCCCCCACTGTCTGGTCTCCTTTCCCCACCACTTGGTTACCTTTTTCCCCCACTGTCTGGTCTCCTTTCCCCACCACTTGGTTACCTTTTTCCCCCACTGTCTGGTCTCCTTTCCCCACCACTTGGTTACCTTTTTCCCCCACTGTCTGGTCTCCTTTCCCCACCACTTGGTTACCTTTTTCCCCCACTGTCTGGTCTCCTTTCCCCACCACTTGGTTACCTTTTTCCCCCACTGTCTGGTCTCCTTTCCCCACCACTTGGTTACCTTTTTCCCCCACTGTCTGGTCTCCTTTCCCCACCACTTGGTTACCTTTTTCCCCCACTGTCTGGTATCCTTTCCCCACCACTTGGTTACCTTTTTCCCCCACTGTCTGGTCTCCTTTCCCCACCACTTGGTTACCTTTTTCCCCCACTGTCTGGTATCCTTTCCCCACCACTTGGTTACCTTTTTCCCCCACTGTCTGGTATCCTTTCCCCACCACTTGGTTACCTTTTTCCCCCACTGTCTGGTCTCCTTTCCCCACCACTTGGTTACCTTTTTCCCCCACTGTCTGGTATCCTTTCCCCACCACTTGGTTACCTTTTTCCCCCACTGTCTGGTATCCTTTCCCCACCACTTGGTTACCTTTTTCCCCCACTGTCTGGTATCCTTTCCCCACCACTTGGTTACCTTTTTCCCCCACTGTCTGGTATCCTTTCCCCACCACTTGGTTACCTTTTTCCCCCACTGTCTGGTCTCCTTTCCCCACCACTTGGTTACCTTTTTCCCCCACTGTCTGGTCTCCTTTCCCCACCACTTGGTTACCTTTTTCCCCCACTGTCTGGTCTCCTTTCCCCACCACTTGGTTACCTTTTTCCCCCACTGTCTGGTCTCCTTTCCCCACCACTTGGTTACCTTTTTCCCCCACTGTCTGGTCTCCTTTCCCCACCACTTGGTTACCTTTTTCCCCCACTGTCTGGTCTCCTTTCCCCACCACTTGGTTACCTTTTTCCCCCACTGTCTGGTCTCCTTTCCCCACCACTTGGTTACCTTTTTCCCCCACTGTCTGGTATCCTTTCCCCACCACTTGGTTACCTTTTTCCCCCACTGTCTGGTCTCCTTTCCCCACCACTTGGTTACCTTTTTCCCCCACTGTCTGGTCTCCTTTCCCCACCACTTGGTTACCTTTTTCCCCCACTGTCTGGTCTCCTTTCCCCACCACTTGGTTACCTTTTTCCCCCACTGTCTGGTCTCCTTTCCCCACCACTTGGTTACCTTTTTCCCCCACTGTCTGGTCTCCTTTCCCCACCACTTGGTTACCTTTTTCCCCCACTGTCTGGTCTCCTTTCCCCACCACTTGGTTACCTTTTTCCCCCACTGTCTGGTCTCCTTTCCCCACCACTTGGTTACCTTTTTCCCCCACTGTCTGGTATCCTTTCCCCACCACTTGGTTACCTTTTTCCCCCACTGTCTGGTCTCCTTTCCCCACCACTTGGTTACCTTTTTCCCCCACTGTCTGGTATCCTTTCCCCACCACTTGGTTACCTTTTTCCCCCACTGTCTGGTCTCCTTTCCCCACCACTTGGTTACCTTTTTCCCCCACTGTCTGGTCTCCTTTCCCCACCACTTGGTTACCTTTTTCCCCCACTGTCTGGTCTCCTTTCCCCACCACTTGGTTACCTTTTTCCCCCACTGTCTGGTCTCCTTTCCCCACCACTTGGTTACCTTTTTCCCCCACTGTCTGGTCTCCTTTCCCCACCACTTGGTTACCTTTTTCCCCCACTGTCTGGTCTCCTTTCCCCACCACTTGGTTACCTTTTTCCCCCACTGTCTGGTATCCTTTCCCCACCACTTGGTTACCTTTTTCCCCCACTGTCTGGTATCCTTTCCCCACCACTTGGTTACCTTTTTCCCCCACTGTCTGGTCTCCTTTCCCCACCACTTGGTTACCTTTTTCCCCCACTGTCTGGTATCCTTTCCCCACCACTTGGTTACCTTTTTCCCCCACTGTCTGGTCTCCTTTCCCCACCACTTGGTTACCTTTTTCCCCCACTGTCTGGTCTCCTTTCCCCACCACTTGGTTACCTTTTTCCCCCACTGTCTGGTATCCTTTCCCCACCACTTGGTTACCTTTTTCCCCCACTGTCTGGTATCCTTTCCCCACCACTTGGTTACCTTTTTCCCCCACTGTCTGGTCTCCTTTCCCCACCACTTGGTTACCTTTTTCCCCCACTGTCTGGTCTCCTTTCCCCACCACTTGGTTACCTTTTTCCCCCACTGTCTGGTATCCTTTCCCCACCACTTGGTTACCTTTTTCCCCCACTGTCTGGTATCCTTTCCCCACCACTTGGTTACCTTTTTCCCCCACTGTCTGGTATCCTTTCCCCACCACTTGGTTACCTTTTTCCCCCACTGTCTGGTCTCCTTTCCCCACCACTTGGTTACCTTTTTCCCCCACTGTCTGGTCTCCTTTCCCCACCACTTGGTTACCTTTTTCCCCCACTGTCTGGTATCCTTTCCCCACCACTTGGTTACCTTTTTCCCCCACTGTCTGGTATCCTTTCCCCACCACTTGGTTACCTTTTTCCCCCACTGTCTGGTATCCTTTCCCCACCACTTGGTTACCTTTTTCCCCCACTGTCTGGTCTCCTTTCCCCACCACTTGGTTACCTTTTTCCCCCACTGTCTGGTCTCCTTTCCCCACCACTTGGTTACCTTTTTCCCCCACTGTCTGGTCTCCTTTCCCCACCACTTGGTTACCTTTTTCCCCCACTGTCTGGTCTCCTTTCCCCACCACTTGGTTACCTTTTTCCCCCACTGTCTGGTATCCTTTCCCCACCACTTGGTTACCTTTTTCCCCCACTGTCTGGTCTCCTTTCCCCACCACTTGGTTACCTTTTTCCCCCACTGTCTGGTCTCCTTTCCCCACCACTTGGTTACCTTTTTCCCCCACTGTCTGGTATCCTTTCCCCACCACTTGGTTACCTTTTTCCCCCACTGTCTGGTCTCCTTTCCCCACCACTTGGTTACCTTTTTCCCCCACTGTCTGGTCTCCTTTCCCCACCACTTGGTTACCTTTTTCCCCCACTGTCTGGTCTCCTTTCCCCACCACTTGGTTACCTTTTTCCCCCACTGTCTGGTATCCTTTCCCCACCACTTGGTTACCTTTTTCCCCCACTGTCTGGTCTCCTTTCCCCACCACTTGGTTACCTTTTCCCCCACTGTCTGGTATCCTTTCCCCACCACTTGGTTACCTTTTTCCCCCACTGTCTGGTCTCCTTTCCCCACCACTTGGTTACCTTTTTCCCCCACTGTCTGGTATCCTTTCCCCACCACTTGGTTACCTTTTTCCCCCACTGTCTGGTCTCCTTTCCCCACCACTTGGTTACCTTTTTCCCCCACTGTCTGGTATCCTTTCCCCACCACTTGGTTACCTTTTTCCCCCACTGTCTGGTATCCTTTCCCCACCACTTGGTTACCTTTTTCCCCCACTGTCTGGTCTCCTTTCCCCACCACTTGGTTACCTTTTTCCCCCACTGTCTGGTCTCCTTTCCCCACCACTTGGTTACCTTTTTCCCCCACTGTCTGGTCTCCTTTCCCCACCACTTGGTTACCTTTTTCCCCCACTGTCTGGTCTCCTTTCCCCACCACTTGGTTACCTTTTTCCCCCACTGTCTGGTCTCCTTTCCCCACCACTTGGTTACCTTTTTCCCCCACTGTCTGGTCTCCTTTCCCCACCACTTGGTTACCTTTTTCCCCCACTGTCTGGTCTCCTTTCCCCACCACTTGGTTACCTTTTTCCCCCACTGTCTGGTATCCTTTCCCCACCACTTGGTTACCTTTTTCCCCCACTGTCTGGTCTCCTTTCCCCACCACTTGGTTACCTTTTTCCCCCACTGTCTGGTCTCCTTTCCCCACCACTTGGTTACCTTTTTCCCCCACTGTCTGGTATCCTTTCCCCACCACTTGGTTACCTTTTTCCCCCACTGTCTGGTCTCCTTTCCCCACCACTTGGTTACCTTTTTCCCCCACTGTCTGGTCTCCTTTCCCCACCACTTGGTTACCTTTTTCCCCCACTGTCTGGTCTCCTTTCCCCACCACTTGGTTACCTTTTTCCCCCACTGTCTGGTATCCTTTCCCCACCACTTGGTTACCTTTTTCCCCCACTGTCTGGTCTCCTTTCCCCACCACTTGGTTACCTTTTCCCCCCACTGTCTGGTATCCTTTCCCCACCACTTGGTTACCTTTTTCCCCCACTGTCTGGTCTCCTTTCCCCACCACTTGGTTACCTTTTTCCCCCACTGTCTGGTCTCCTTTCCCCACCACTTGGTTACCTTTTTCCCCCACTGTCTGGTATCCTTTCCCCACCACTTGGTTACCTTTTTCCCCCACTGTCTGGTCTCCTTTCCCCACCACTTGGTTACCTTTTTCCCCCACTGTCTGGTCTCCTTTCCCCACCACTTGGTTACCTTTTTCCCCCACTGTCTGGTCTCCTTTCCCCACCACTTGGTTACCTTTTTCCCCACTGTCTGGTCTCCTTTCCCCACCACTTGGTTACCTTTTTCCCCCACTGTCTGGTCTCCTTTCCCCACCACTTGGTTACCTTTTTCCCCCACTGTCTGGTATCCTTTCCCCACCACTTGGTTACCTTTTTCCCCCACTGTCTGGTCTCCTTTCCCCACCACTTGGTTACCTTTTCCCCCCACTGTCTGGTATCCTTTCCCCACCACTTGGTTACCTTTTTCCCCCACTGTCTGGTCTCCTTTCCCCACCACTTGGTTACCTTTTTCCCCCACTGTCTGGTCTCCTTTCCCCACCACTTGGTTACCTTTTTCCCCCACTGTCTGGTATCCTTTCCCCACCACTTGGTTACCTTTTTCCCCCACTGTCTGGTATCCTTTCCCCACCACTTGGTTACCTTTTTCCCCCACTGTCTGGTCTCCTTTCCCCTCGCTGCATGTCTTCCTTCCTCCCACTTCTTGCCCTCCTTTCCCTCCCTGGCTACCATCCTTTCCCCACCTCCATGCTGCCTGGTCCCCCCTTGCCTGCAGTTCCCACTTCATTGTTTCCCATCCCTTCCTCTTGCTCACCCGTTTCTCTGCCAGCATGCTCGATCTTCCTCCCACCTCCCACTATTTCCAGCCCATCCCAACAGACCCCTCCCCCCAGCAAACTCACCCATCATCCCTCGCGCTACATCCGTTCCCCCCCACCACCAGTCACCATGGCTCATCCATTCCCCCCCACCACCAGTCACCATGGCTCGAATCCGAAAGAAACAAACAGCAGCGTCGTGGAGGAGCAAAGTGCTTGAGCTTGTTGGGAGTAAGGAGAAAGGAAACTTGGCAATAGCAAATAAAATGCAGATCCCCATATGCTACCTCCGTTGTGGATTGAGCTCTCTAATGGGAGAAGGGAGAGTCGGCACTGTTGCGGATTTGGTGTACTTTCTTATACATGCGGGATCCGGAGCGAAGGATGCGCTCATGTCAGCAGCCAAGCAGGCCGGTGAGTGAGTACAAGAGTATACTGTGGGAAGGGAAATCGGAGGAGTCAGCGTGGGCTTTTTCATTGGACAACATACGTGGAGAGTAACATACACACACCTCCTATCCGTGCAGGGGTGGACGGGGACGAGGCCGAGCCAACGGTGCAGTTGCTGATGGGGGATTTCGGGAACAAGTTCCAAGGAGGAAAGGATCGATCTATTGGACAACCAGATATCATTGTGAAAGGGCAGGGGCGTGCAATCGCTGGTCTAACGTACAATTTTCCAAAGTACGAGGAAAAGGATGGGAGTGCGCGAAAAGAGGGAGCAATATTTGATCAAGGAGGACCTCGACGTGGGATCGCTTACACCAACCTTCTACGAAAAGGTGCATGTCATAGAATGTGAGGCGATGCCTGCCGAAACATCCAACCATCAGTATCCTCGTAAATCCCATTTCGTTCTCTTCCATAACCCATGCCATCCGCCCTGCCCTCTTCCGCTCTGATTTCCTCTTCTTTTGCCTATGTTCCTTCTCTTCTTCTCCATTGATTTCTCTCCCTTTCCTAACCCTTCCTCCCCTCTCGCCTCTCCATTTTCCATCTTTTACCCCAATACTACTCATATACCCCCTCCCTCCCTCTCTCTTCCCTCCACTCCCTCTCTTTCCCCACATATCCCCTTGTTTCCCCTCGCTTTTTCTATTCTTCCTTCACTGTTCATCATCTACTCCCTTGCTCTACCTTGTCCTTTAGCATCAGCGGGACAGAGCATGCACTATGAACAGTCTGCACTTCATGTTGTCGAACAGATGGAAGACGACGTTTGTCGACCAGACGTTGAAGCTACCATGGATGAAGGAGGGGAGGAGTGTCCTGGTGAAGCCCATTGTCAGAATCCCAACCACTAGACCATTGGGATAAAAGGGCTTGTTAAGTAGCGGGTCAGTGCGCCCATAACCCCCCAGGACAACATGCCTGTAACCCTTCCCTAGGATCAATCGGGGATCACCAGTGGACCTCTGACACCCCCCCGCACTGGGATGCCCGAAGTGCACACACTGGGATTCGAACCCGAGACCTTCCCTCTGATACCATGTCAGAATCCCAACCACTAGACCACTGGGATAAAAGGGCTTGTTAAGTAGCGGGTCAGTGCGCCCATAACCCCCCAGGACAACATGCCTGTAACCCTTCCCTAGGATCAATCAGAGATCACCAGCGGACCTCTGACACCCATGTGTCAATAGAGATTGATGAGGCATGCAACGACGGCCAAGAGACACCGTGTACAGCCGAGGAGGGATGCATGGACGACATCGAGGCGAACATTACAGGGTATGTAACATTTGAACTAGGGGATGCAACATAATCGTGATGTACGGTGAATGGTATCATGTGACTTGTATTCGACTTGCACTGATACAATGAAACCACCCCTCCATACCCATGACCGCTTTCCATCCCCCCTTCTTCCTTACCTGGATTGCATCTACGCACCAGAGATCCGCAGGTTCATCGTACCCCGGCCGGGGGATCCCCAAGGAGATGGCCATCCAAGCCGACAATGGACGGGTTGCGACAAGTCGTGTGCCTTTTGGATCCCATTCACGTCATCAGGTTCTTTCATACCATCTCGATTATGTGCACACTAGGGCGAGGTTGTGGGGGTAAGATGCACTTACGGTCATGGAAGCTGATGTGGGCGACGTTAGGAGTGGTTTGGACTTGTGACCAATGCCATGGTTCCTTACCATTATGGTCGATAAACCGTCAGGTATCACCTGGTGAGGCAAGCAAGCCTGGTCGAAAACGTCTGACATTGATGCAGAGGTTCCTTGCGTCTTTTGCACTTGCTGGCTTAGGCTACCAAGTGTTTTCGGAGGTGGGGCGGAATCTTGGCGTGCCAGTCCCTTGTAAGACGACTTTCTATAAGTACATGAGTGCTCCGGGTGGCTTATGGGAGAAGATAGTAACGCATGCGGAAAAGTGTATGGAAAAGGTACGAGAAGTGATGATGGCCCAGGGTAGACGGGATATTTGGTTATGTGTCGATGGGAGGTGGGGACAGCCACGCGAAGCTGAGTGGTGCACTGTCGCATTCATGGATGCCAGGACCAGGAAGATAATACATTGCGTCACCTTGCCGAAAACACCAGACGATCTGGCATCCAATCAGTTAGAGGGGGTTGCTTTTAGCACAGGGGTGCAAGACCTTCAGAAGTGGGGTTTTCCAATAAAGGGCATAGTTTCATACGAGGGTGCGTCATTCAAGCTTGGGATCCTTGGTACTAGTATAGAGCATCAACGCGATGTGTGGCATAAGGGTCGTTCGCTATCACGCATGTTTCATAAAAAATTCATGGAGGGGAAGAAAAAGGTAAAACACCCATCAGATGCGGACACAATCCAGGATCTTTGGAACATCAAGGCTGAAGACCTCAAGGCATGGTTGCGAGAGCGGCTTGGGCCCAAATTGCCAGGAGTACCCAAAAAACCGACAAGGAAGGATTTAATCAAGGAAGTCTGTAAGCTGAAGAAGATCGGTTTTGTGGATTTGGCGGATGTTAGCACGCAATACGAGTTCCCCGAGATGCGACGTGTTGTCCAGGTGCGAGGCCAGAGTGGGGGTGGGGTGGTGAACAGGGGGGGTAGAGCATCACAAGGCCCGGAGGGGCTAGTGGTAGGGGGCCAGGAGGGTGTGGTGAGCATGGTAGAGGTACCCGTTACTGAGGGTCGAGGACCTGCTGGCAGTGGGTGCGCCAGCGGTTCTCCAGACAGTGGGGTTTACGGAGGATCGGTCGCCATTGACATCTTGGAGGGGAATACGATGGAGCCAAGCGCGGACGATGATGGGTTGGATTTCCGATTTTCGGATGTAGCAGAGCTGTGGGGATATGATCCCCACCCGGAGCATGGCGTTCGACCATGCTCAGTGCAGTCGTTCATGATCTTACAGGCTTCAGCTTCATCTCACAGTGCGGCCGCGCGAGATGATACGACCTGTGCATCCGCTTCGAGGAACACATATTCTGGTTCAGGTAATGCAAAGCGAACGTTCAATTCGTTGTGATTGTCTTATTCGACATGATGTCCACGTGACCATTTTCTTTGTCATATTCCTGTCACTAAATGACCTCCCAAATGTGCATATTATCTGCATGCATATTATCTGCATCTATCAACATCCACCATGATGATGCAGGGGCTGGAGGTGGACCAAGTTCATCCAGCGGAGCTGATTCGACAGTACCCCGACATTTTCCCCGACGACCTGCCACCTGGACTACCACCCGAGCGACCCGAGGACCACAAAATCCAGCTGGAACCTGGCGCGCAGCCGACTGTTCGGACACAATGGCGGTTGACCCAACCGGAACTTGAGGAGTTGCGAAGTCAAATCGACGCACTGTTGGAGAAAGGGTTCATCCGAGCCAGCACATCTCCCTTCGCAGCGCCGATCCTCTTCACTCCGAAAAAAGATGGTGGGCTTCGCATGTGCATCGACTATCGTGCGCTAAACCGGGTGACAATCAAGTCTCGCTATCCAATCCCCCGCACCGATGACCTCCTCGATCAACTTCGCGGAGCTCGTTATTTCTCGAAGATTGACTTACGAGGCGGTTACCACCAAATCCGAGTCTTCGCCGACGACTACCACAAGACTGCATTTCGCACCCGCTACGGAAGTTACGAATTCACAGTGATGCCTTTCGGCCTCACGAACGCGCCCTCAACTTTTCAATTAACCATGAACAGGATTTTTCGGGACCTGCTCGACCGACGCGTCATCGTCTACTTGGACGATATCCTGATTTTTAGCAAGACACGGGAGCACCACCTCCGTGACCTCGACGCAGTGTTTAAGCGGTTGCAGGAGAATCGACTCATCACCAAGGGCTCTAAGTGCGAATTTTTTAAGCAAGAGTTGGAGTTTTTGGGACACGTTGTCTCACGCAACGGCATTAAAATCGACCCGGCGAAAATCAAGCCCATACAGGAGTGGAAGTCCCCGACGAATATCACGGAGCTGCAGAGTTTTCTGGGGTTCGTGAATTACGTCCGGCGGTTTATCCCAAATATGGCGGGGATAACCGGCCTGCTAACCGACCTGCTGCACAAGGACAGGAATTTTGTGTGGGGGGAGGAGGCAGAAGCGGCTTTCCAGGAGTTGAAAATTTTCCTGGTTTCCCCTCCTGTGCTGCGCATCGCCGACCCATCGAAGCCGTTCGAAGTCGTCACCGACGCCTCTGATTTCGCGATCGGAGCAGTGCTACTCCAGGATTTCGGGAACGGACTGCAGCCGATAGCTTACGAATCCCGCAAGCTGCAAGCAGCCGAACGCAACTACCCGATTCACGACAAAGAAATGCTCATCCACGCATTCAAACTGTGGCGATGCTACCTGGTGGGCGCCGACGTCACTGTTCGCACGGACCACAAGTCCCTCCAATATCTGCGAGCCCAGCCCAACCTCAACCCGCGACAAATTCGATGGCTTGATTACATCGAAAGCCACTTCACCTATCGCATCACGTACAAAAAGGGGGCAAACAACATTGCCGACGCCCTGACC